CATGATAAATAGGGTAATCCTAGACACAATATAATCATGATAAATAGGATAACCCTTGACACACTATAATGATGATAAAATAGGATAAATATCCTAACAGTTACGAAGAGCTTAAACAATAGCAGTTAACGGAAGTTTCAATTAGTAGTTAGGCAGTTTTTGTCTTTTAATTAGGGGAGGTGTTCTAGTTCTGATTGTTGAGTGTTTTATTTCTGAACGGGGGTTGTCCTGTGGAAGGGAATGTTTTCCCTTGGATGTTGTTGATTGCTTTCAGTGTATTTTCATTCAATAAAATTGCTTCCTCACTGTGATGATTCATATATCTGTTGTGATTATTTATTTTGAAACAGTATCTAGGTTTCTTACAAGAAACCTAACAAAAAGTGTCTAAACTTTGGCATCCAAAACCTGTCTTTGAGGCCCAAATGGTCAGCAGAAACCCAGACTCAATCATCTTCTAAGGCCCTCACCTTACCAGCCACCGCAGTAGGAAGGCAACGTAGGAAGATCCATAAAACAAACCACCAACATGACAGCGACCAACGATGATGATGGGTGACAGCAACCTTGGGCGACGAAAACGCACAGCCAGACAACACAAATCATGAGCAACAGTGACACCAAACGAGAGACAGAGTGGCAATGATTACTGACTAGATAAGGATAAGGAAATCATCCAAGTTTCTGGATATTATTATGTCGATCAGCAAGATGTCCCATAGATAGGCATCTACCACTGGATTGTGTATTTAATTGTGGAAATCTTATTTCTTGACAGAGTAAGAACAAAATATTTTTGCTTCATCTAATGCAAAAGTTGAATATATAGTTATGGAGTTAATTACTTGTGAACTTGAATGGATTAAACAACTCTTGCAGGAGTTAAAATTTGGTGAAACACAACAAATGAAATTGTATTGTAATAATCAAGCAGTCCTTCATTTTGTCTCCAATTTTGTGTTTCATAAAAGAACTAAGCATATAAAGATTGATTATCACTTTGTTTGAGAGTAGTTTTTGTCTAAGGAGATTTGTATTGAATTTATCAATTACACTGGTCTACTTCAGACATTTTAACCAAATCCTTTGGGGTACACAATTTGTATGCCCTAGCTTCAAGACTTTTATAAAGTTGTCTTTTAATGTATCTAGAAGGGTCAAAATTGTACCCTATCCTCTCTTTTTATGTATCTGTATTCTTCCCTTCAAATATATAATACATACATAAGTGAGATAAAATCATGTAAAAATTCTCTCAAAATCTTAAGTCAGCCAAATCTAAAACCTCAATAAATAATAACTACCAAAATCATTGCAAAAAAGAACTTAACAAACATGCACAAAATGTAACAATGACATAAAAAGGACAAACAAAAAATCCAGATAACCAAATTCTTTTATAAAAATCATCCTCACTTTGAGGTAGGGAGACATGTCCACTGCTTAGTATCAAAGAGGTTATGGTTCGTCATCCTGTAAGAGGAGGAACTCCACACTTTCACTTTACCCATTTCAGACTAAAATCAGTAAAGGTTAAGAATTACCGGCAATCTAGTATGCATAAAATTTTGTTAACTTATGTCTGAGATTAATTTGGTTTACCGTAAATTTACACACCCTCCTTCTCTTCCTTCCCCAGTCATGTTATAGTCTTTTTTTCAATTGTTTGCTATTAATTTTATATAGGAGCAGGAGTTGTCTACACTGAAAACATGTGATGTAAGAATACTACCTCAAGTCTGTGGAGTTGGGTTTAAAATATGAACATGACCTTACAAATATTTACAATTTTACATTAGCAGTATTAACTTACAATTAGGGTGGAAGTTTGAAAATATATAGAATTTCTGTAAAGTTAGTTGGCTATAAAAGATGATAGTTTAGTCATTCCTCTAGGACTACAGTATTTAAAACATCAGCAGCAATTATATTAATGTGCGCTAATAAAATAGTTAGCACAAAGAAGGGATACCTTAACTTGTTCACCCATACAACAGGGTCACAAGGCTCAGAAATCTGTCTCCACCTAACAGCTAATGAGTAAACATCGTGCCATGACAATTTTCGGCTGGATGATCTTTCATCTACAATTCCATTTGAAGATGTTAATGAGGTACTGCTTGTACTACAACCAGCACCTCCTCTATTTTGACTGGTCATGTTAATTCTTTCCCTTCTCCTGGCCCTTTTCCCATTCTTTGAGTTTCCTTTATTTGAGTATTTCCATTCAGCACGCAGGGAACGCCAAGCTTTGGAGACCTTTTGTGCAATTTCAATGGCGGCAAGTCCAGCCATACGATGCTATTAGGAAATATTAATACACAGATTTAGAAAGGTTAATAAGATGATATTATCAACAAAAATGAGCAAAAAACCACAAATGTTCAGTGGATGCATGTCACTTTAAAATGAATGTATAAAAATTATAAAGGAAAAATATATGACTCTTGCACATATCCATGATTTTAAACTAATTGAAAACTAACATAAATTATATGATTCTACAAAAAACTGCATGTTCTTATTACGGGAAATAGAACTAAAATAAAAAGTTCTATTCAGTAGAAAATTTCAAGAAAGGAAGTTTGATTTGTTTAAAGTTAGTTGCAGTGTAAAATCAGAAAACTGAAATTCCTTAACTTACGGACTTTTTAATCTTATTCAATCGTTATGCCCTATTATTTCTTTGTCTCTAAATAAATGAAATAGAACCCCTTATATTAGACAACAGGAAGTAAATGGAAATAGTATACCATGTTTCCAACTCTTGCAATTTGATTCTACAATATATGAACAAGAGTAATCAAATCTTTTGGATGCAACAAAATCCTTTTCTAGGTCTCAGAGCAAAGAAAGGTACAAGTACACTATTGCACATGAAAAACTGTCAGAATTAAAGTGCACCCCAACAGCTAAGGGAATTCTTAAAAAAACAGGAAAATGATCACAGCTCGATAAGGTACATGGAAGAAGAAATAGCTTTACCTGACGTCTATTAGGCAGAAATCCCGGACAAGCATACTGGATTTTCATGCCAATGGAATCTGAAGCAAGTAGAAGAGCAGCCTTCTGCTTGGTAATGGTAAACTCTTGCTTTTTAAGCTTTCCCTTTCTTAAAGACTCGCGTAAAGGAGGTTGCCTAAAAACTTTTTCACATACATTCTTTGGGTGCAATTTCTTGCACCAGTATTCCTGAATAGAAGAAAATTGAAGATAAGAATACTGATCATAGAAAATGGAACCTCAACGCATGCTTTAACATGGATAAGCACATTGTGGTTGAAAACCTAGTTGTTTTTGTTGGTAACTTGCCTGATTGCAATCACCCCTAGACTGCCTCAGAATCTCAAGGTCGGAGGTTTAGTCCCACATCAAGTAGATATGTCACTTTAATATAGCTTATAAAGCTCGACAATCCTTATCTTGTAAGTTAGTTTTGTAATATTGAGTTAAATATTGAACTCATTTTTAAATGGTATCAAAGTTGTCATGCTAGCTGTGAAGGAAAATGTTGGAAAGCCACCTTAATTGAAGTCATCCTTTAATTTCAACCTAAGGTGGTAGTCTAGTCCCACATTGAGTAGAGAGACGATCTAAATGAGATCATAAAGTTTGGTTGATATGACAATGTCACATAATTTGTTCAAAGAGTAGAAAACTGTAAATTTGTTTGTGTACCAATTCATGGTTCATTTACAAACTGGTATGCCCTAATACAACAATGGAATGTGAACAATGGGAAAGACATTCACTTTGGCAGTGAAAAGTGTTATACAACAATGGAAGATGAAGAATGTAAGAATGGAAATGATTGTGAGCAGTAAGGGATTGTGGAATGTAAGGCAAAGCAGTGGTTAGAGGCAAACCAAAGAAAAGATATTAATGGGGTTAAGAAGAAAACTGAATTTATTTTTTATTTTACTGAAGTTGCTGACTAGTAGTTGGAGGATAGTGTTGTCCAGTTGTGCACCATTTTTCTTGATAAAAATGCGTAAATAGTTTTAAAATGTTAAAGGTCAGCTTAAAAAACAATATCAAGTATTAGTCAACAGAATTAAATAATGTCACTCTTAAAGGTTAGCAACATAAAATAGTAGTATAAATTATTAAAGGCCAACAGAATAACATATCTATAGTAATATCTATAGTAATATCTACAATATGTAAGCAATTTATAATTTTTACCAAATGAAAAAAAGATATTGGTGATAATATTTATTTACCGAAACATACAGACTATGCATAGGTACCAATATTGGTTTTGGAGAAATTTATTTACCACATTGTACGGAAAATTATGGAACTATGGTCCTAACCTTACAAACAGGTTTTGGAGATTGAGTTGGGGCCCAAGCTCAAATTCTAGGAGCTATACATTCTTTTATCCACACTAAAATTCCGATAGGCATGCTTATGGAAAAACTTATATTTTCTCTTATTCTTCCTGTTTTTCAGGTAAGTGGCCTACTCTACACACACGACCATAATCAGATTAATAGGGTTTTCAAATCAAGACGCCTTTGAATGAAGAAAGATTAGAATACCAAGGAAAGTAGAATTGTCTTCATAAAATTTACCTTAAAAAGTGCATCAATGTCCCCATCAATATCGAACCAGCAAAAATCACTATTAAATTTTGAGGCTGTGTACAGCGCAATCTCTTTCTGCAATAAGAATATAAAATATTCAGCCACACCATTGAACTAGGTTCTTAATTAATGAATGGAACTTAATAAATACCATGTCAATTCACGGAGCCCCAATGCCGTATGGAGCTGAATCAAGGAAGGGCAAGATCTACTAGTATGTCATAACAAAGTGACACAAGGAACTAAAGCAGAAGGGAACAGATCTATTTCAAAACATGCCAACAGAAATCCACATTTTCAAATTAACATGCTAGCATTTTTATAATGTTGAGCTTATAATATCTCTCTTTCTCCCGTTTACTATGACTATATCTCCTGCTCTAAATTAATGTTTGCTATGAAATGTTAGTAGATCTTATAGCATAGAAGGAAAATTATGTATGTTCTTATTTTATCAGTAAAATAGGATTAAGAGGGAGAACAAAAAACAGATGAGTTATAATTAATAAAACAAACCTGATAAAAGGCAAGGCACTGGAGCACAAACTTGTCCATTGAATCCAGTTCCAAATCCAACGCAGCATCATAATCCTTGACCTGAGCAGTTAAAAAACATTGTAGTGTGACAAACGAACAATGCATCCAAAATTTAAATTAAGAGAATTCATACAGCTTCTTTGAATTGTCCAACAGCATGGTAGCAGGAACCTCGTAAATACAAACATTCGACATTGCTGCCATCAATGCTCAACCCCATTGTCAAATCCTTGATAGCCTTCCTGTCACATCCAAACCCAAGTTAAAGTATAATCAAGTAAGAGAACAGAGTACCAAACTACAAAATTTAACACCAATAACTGGAGTGAAACATTGAAAGCAACTTACATGAACGTTAGGTGCCATTTCAAATCCAAACCCAACAAATTTTATACTTTTGACAGTATACCAAGCATCCAATAATTCATATACAATTTATCACTCTAGAATCCTAGATTTGCAGACCATAATAGCAGTGGCTATCCACAAAGTTTTGGAATAAGAATTTAGTACTAGGGAGAAGACAATTATATAATATTAGTTTGCAACTATAGGAATATCACAATCACCACAAATCTTCCTCAAAGTGCTCCTTCTCAAATTCTAACCTAAATTTACAAAATATACAAAATGAACCTTCTTATAAGATTCCTTTCAAGTACTACAGCCGTTATTAACAACAGTAAGTAATCCATGTTCCTGCATGATCCATCCTTGGTACCTAAAACCAGTATTTCTACCATCCAAATATGTCTCCTTAATTGTCAGAGATTGCCAATACATCTTATACTAGCGTTTAGGGCCCAAATCCTAAAGATTTATGAAAGTAAACGCAGCCACTTTAAATAAATATTCAACTTCTTCAATTGATCAGAGCAGCAAGGCAGCAGAAATACCTGTGTTCACCCATTGCATGGAATAGAAGGCCACGCAAATGGTAAGCTCTTGCAAACCTAACATCAATATGTAAAAGCATTCAGCTTCGAGTAAAGAGAATAGCCACAGAGTACATTAAATGACAACAGAAATAATTCATGACAATTACCTCACATCAATCTGTAGCATATTACTTAGACATTCCTGAGCTTTGGTTGGCATTGCTAAATCTTGATAGAACTGCACAAAAACCACACATTCAGAACAACACTACAATTAACATCATCTAACAGAATAGCTTAAAGCTAATAACTGATAATTAGGAAGAAAAGATGCATCATGCTTAATAGATATTTACATATGACAGCCAGATATTTGATAAAATAGTTAAATACATACTAAGATATTTACATATGGCAGCTAGATCTTCGATAAAATAGTTAAATACATACTAAGACCAAAGCTACTGGCCTATTACTGCTGATCTTTGGTAAAAACTGTGTCATATTTCAGACCGAATTAGCATATAAAATCATCTAACAGAATATATTTTAAGCCTATATATATAAAAAGCTATTGAAAAGTGCGGCCTACCAGATGATTAAGCCTGTAATTGAATTTAAAAAATGTAGATAAGAACTGATCTGATATAAAATGGATACATCAAGCAAGTTGAATAAGTAGATTGGATTACACTACAGGTTGACAAAAATAACACGGATGAAAGTAGTGAAGCTGGATATAAGTACAGATAACATACAGACTCTAGCATACAACTAAACACATTGGAAGTATACAATACAGTCATTTCTTTAATATGATCAAACTATCAGTATGGGCACCATTGAATATACACCTGAGTCAGATGAGCCCATGCTTCAAGGAAATTTTTGTCGAGTTGAAGTGACTTAAGATGAGCTTCCTCAGCTTTCTTATATTCGCCAATTGAAGATAATGCTAAACCCTGTTAACTCAATTTGTTCAGTGAAATACTGAATTGAAAAGACCTTCCATACAAATAATGTCAAATCAATGAGGATTCAAGCATTAACACTTAAGGCTCACCAAGTATGTGTGGGCAGATGTATTATCCTTATCTAGCTTCACACAAGCTGAAAGGTCTTCAACAGCTGCATCAAACTCTTTAAATTTGAAATTTACAATTCCTGCATTGAAAATCATGTAAAGATGTGTTAATTAGTCTAAAAATTGAGGATTTACTAGATTATTTCATCAATCAATTTGGTAGAATATATACAGAAGTTCAAACAATAGTTTAAGAAACAAAATATCTCCCTATTTTAATGTTATAATATCTTGATTTGCTAGAGATTTTCAAAACTATAGCCTATTTTTATGTTAAGTATTCAATCTTGGATAGCAGCACACAGTGGCCAAGCCTAAAACCGCTAAAGGGGGATAGCAGGATGGACACTGCTGTGAAGTCTAGTAAACAATAGACATAATTTATATCATACACAAATACTAGACATATACACGATTTTTAAAGACAAGGTGTATGATATCTGAATTTTGTTATTACTATTATACTACTCTCATTTAATTTATTTCAATAACTATATTACATTTTATACTTTATTTAGGAAGCTTCCATCCATTAGTGAGAAAACTGTAAGTTTCCAGGGGCGGACACCTCTTTATTAAATATCAACCCACTTTGAAGTGTCTCATTCATGAAATACCTATACACTTTAATGTTCTAGGTTCAATCATGTTGAACCGGGCTATGTGCAATGCCGATTGCTGATTTTTTTCATATTAAAGCTTCATTGATTTGTCCCACTTAAATCATCAAGTCTTCTAAAATAATATTAAGCCTAAGTAATTCACGCACCCCTTTAGGCATAGCAGAAAGTTCAGCTTCAGCACCAAAACTGCCACAACACTTTTAATTTTACTTCTTCCTCAAATTTACAAGATTTTCTTCCAGAAAAGTGCAATAGCCAGTTGTAGTTGACCTTTTGTCAACAATTGACCTTGCTCAGTTGGCTTGCATGTAGGCTTCTAGTGCCATATTCCCATTTGTTTTTACAAAAATCCTCTTCTTCGAGTCCCCTTTGCTGTGGAATTCTGTGACTAGCCAGCAAATGAGGGTCTCCTAAGTTCTATGTACATTGACTAATTAGGCAACATATGGTCTGATGGTATGAGCCTTCTGACAAGGTGTTGATAAAAGGTTTAGGATTGGATCTACAGGGTTACACACAGGTTTACAGGTTGTCTTGCTGTGTCAGCAAAACTGGTATGCTTCTTGTGGAATATGAAGATCCTTTTCCTAGGGTCCGCATCAAGTTCTTTGGTCAAGCACCAACACAGGGTTTGTTGTTCTCTCATATCCCTAGTTAATATAATGTTATCCACAAACTCATGGATCCAGTAATGGAAATGTAAATATACCTAGTAATTCCAAATGTTAACTCTTTAACTGCTTTTGAAAAAATGGAAATGTATGCTTGCACAAGATTTGTTAAGGGTGAAAACAGCAGTCATGCACAAGATTTATTAAGGGTAAGAACAACAGCCATGCTGCAAAAACTACTCCAATTTCTGTCTGAACTTCTCGATATTACGAGAGCAACATAGAGGCATGCCTAATTATTCAAGTCCCGCAGAAATCAGCCATCCAAACAACAGATTACTTAAAGACAAGCTACCTCTTTCATGTAGAATATCTGCTGTGTCAGGTTCAAACTCTAACGCCTTGGTCAAGTCTTCAATAGCCTGATATCATATCAAGAGAGAAGGAAAATAGCAATTGTCACATGTACAGGTTCATACTTGTGCAAGGAATGGAAATGCAAAGAATTGTAATATCTACACAATAACATCTTTTATTTATTTATTTTTTATTTGCAATATTTTCACATCTGAGACATTTTATACAATATCACATAAGATCTTATACGTCATACATAATAACATTGAATCTTGAAATATTCAAGAACACTCCTTAATAACCACAGTTTAGCTTTACCACCAAAATAATCAAGTGTTGAGTATTCAACTCAAAGCCTACAGCTGTAGATGGTAATGTTCAAAGAGTATTACGAACTGATAATTTCATAAATTATAGAACAAGAGGGTTGCCCGATGCACGAGGCTCCCCAACCCTTCACATATTCAACATGTTAGTCAGCTACTAAGTTCAAAGAAAGTGTTGCATTCTCACCTCAACAAACTCTCCCAAGGCTGCCCTGGCCTGACCTCTCCTTTTCCATGCCTCACCAGCCGATGGATTGAATTGTATAGCCTAATACATGTGAACTTCTTATTTAAAGAAGAAATATCATATCTCTATATGCAGTTTCTAGACAGTGTTTATTTCAGTACCTTTGTAAAATCAACTATAGCAGCATCAAGTTCCCTCTGGAATGCATATGCAGTACCTCTTCCTATTAGTGCCTCGGGATAAGCAGGGTCCTTTTTCAGTATCTGCATAAATGATAGGTGTGCAAAGCTACAGTATGTCATTTAATAGGAAAGAAAGAGACAGAAAAGGCATGAAAAGATGAAACCAAGAGAATCACTACTAAGGAAAAAGTTTCACCTGGTCAAAAATGGATATTGCATTTGCATATTTTCCTTCATTAACCTGAAAAAGAGTCATAATATCAATCCTTCATGTAAACAAATAAATACAACAGCACAGAAACTGTCATGTAATTTGCTTTATTCAATTACAAGCATGAAAACAAACCTCTGCTATACCCCTTGAGAGTCGAAAATCTACACTAATGGAATTTGTATTTGAAATCCGAGCAACGCAAAACTTCTTATTTTTCCTTGCTTCACCTTTTCTTTCATCAGAAAACATAAACTTACTAACTGGGTTTCTAAAAATTTCAGTGACATTAACTGAGTCACCACTTTTGGTAGATACTTTTTCACTTGATTCTGAAGCATCACTAGAGTCATTACATGATTCAGAATTATAACTAAGTGTATCAAGAACATCAGGGCTTCCATTCACTTGGCCATCGCATTTATTACACTCTCTATCTTCATCAGGTGATTCACTTTTTAAGTTGAAACTATCAGCAGACTTCAGGCATATCTCAGATCTATCACTGGTAGCATTGTTGCATAATTCAGCCATAGTGCCCAATGTATCCTGGATCTTAAAAGCTTCACTTGAGTTCCCATCAATTGGAGAACTGGACTTGGTTTGCAGCATGAATTGCCCGTGTGTTTCCCTTTCACACAGTGCATTCTTTTCTTGTCTTGCTGTTGCTATAAGCTCTTCAAGTTCTAGCATCTGTTTCAAGTCAGCAGACTGATGCAGACCATGTCCATAGCCCTGCTCCCACACCAATAGAGCATTTTCTTTCCTTCCCAACACACAGAGTGCAGAACCTAGACAAGCAAATAAAACAGCCCTAAGTTAAAAAAATATAAAACATATTTGAGCATGAGAATATTTTACTCAAACATTACCATGAAGTAAAAGAATGGCATGATCCATTATATAACAACTCCAACATGATCATAAACAGCATGATCAAATCCACTATAGAATAATTCCAACATGATCATCATGTAACAACCAACCCCATTCATCATTGTAGCAAAATTGTCTTTTCTCTTGACTACATTGATTTCAGTATATAATCAATTATTAAACTAATCAGTTCTTTTGGACACACCTCCAATACACACATAATCTAGTCAATTCTCTTCAGTTAAACAAAAGTTCTATATTATTGTTTTTATGCAATGCACCAACAGGCATAAATGTCAGTAATAATATCCACATAAAAAGAAAAACTTTCTCAAATTATGCAGAAGCTGTACACTGTGACCTCTTTAACATTCAGTAATACATGCACAAACACATCAATTTTCTAAAATCATATATAAACTGTATAGTGTCCCTTCTGTACAAAGCACATCATCTCTAACATGCATAGTAATACACACATCAATTTTCTTCAATTACCCGTTTCTGTGCACATAACATTGAACGTTGACATATAACAAACAACATCCTATACGCCTGTTTAATTAATCACAATAAATGGCATATTTGAAAAAGCCGGGACGAACTAGTCAGAAGAAGTCAAAAAGTCGGCACAGTAAAATTCCAAGGCAAAATACACATGGAAAAATCACCAAGCGGGTAACATTCTACACAAACCTAACTAGTTGGAATACCAATTGCAAATATCTCGCAATTAAGATAGATAAGAGCATAAATTACATAAAATAAAACAGAGGAAAAACCTAGATAGAGGAAGGGATCAAATTTGAAAAGAAGATAAGAAAACCTTTGAGAATGTAAGCTCGAAGTAGCGAGGGGTCAAGCTGAAGTGCTCTATCGCAATCCTTGATGACGTGCTTGTGAAGCTCCAATTTGCTGTAACAGAAGGCGCGGTTGCTGAAACCAAGAATCGGAACAAGATCGGACGTCACAAATAGACTTAGACATGCAAAAGGAAATGATAAATGAATGAGATAAGAAGGGAAACGAAACAGAAACCATAGGTCTTGGACTGTGGCGGAGTGAGAAATGAGGGAATCCAGGATTCGAATGGCCTTGGACCAGTCCTTGGAGGCGCAGAGCCTGGCCAAGTCCACCCGCTCAGAGGAGGAAACAGGAGGAGCCATGGTGAATGGGGAACGTGACGTGCACGGATCAGTGGTGCGGAGTTTGGGGAGGAAATTGGGGCTGGAAATGCAGTGATGAAATAAATAAGATGATGATGATGGTTGAAGAATGAAGAGTGCAGACCTGGAAAATTTGGGTTAATTGAGAGGAAGAAGGCGAATCCTTTAAGAGTAAGGGTGTTTCGACCGTCACTTGCACCGCACAAAGCGTGAATTGCAGCTGTGCCAAAGCTTTCCCCCAGCCTCCACTATATTTATTTTACCCATAATAATTAATATATATATATATATATATATATATATATATATATATTCTTTTATCCAAAATATAATTTTTTTTACACATTTTATTTTATTTACTTGATGATGTTTGTAAAATTATTATACTTCTTTTATCTATTTTATTTTCTTCCAGATAATTGTGGAGTGATTGTTTTCTAAGTTCTATATTTATTTTGTTTTTTTCAATTTTCAAGTTATCCAAATTCTTTATACTATGTATCACAATAGATGATGAAATTAAATTCTTTTAAGTGTCTTGAATAACATCTTAAACTTAACTAAAACAACATAAAAATAAACATATGTATTAAAAAATATATATCAAATGCAATAAATATATATATATATATATATATATATATATATATATATATATATATATATTAATGCAAAAAAATAAAAAACAATATAATAATCAAAATTTAATTAAATAAAATATAATGAAAGTATAAAAACTAAAAGACTAATTATATGATAACTAATTTAAAAACTATACAAAGTATAACATACGAACATTTTTGCACTATCAAGTTTAAATGAGTCTTTTTCAATTTAGCTAATTTACTTTCTTATAATAAAAGAAAAAATCTTACTTAAACAATCTCACATTATTTAAGTGATACTAGTTTTAGATGAGAAAGATAACATTGTTTTTCTCTTATGTTCAATTATTATTCAAACAATCATGTTGGAGTAATATTACTTATTATATTAATTCAACAAATTTCAAAACATTAAACACATGATTTTATCAATATTTGATCAATCATATTATTTTTTTTTTGAGTATTATTAAGTAATTATATATTTTAACACATTTCAAAATTTTATATATTATTGTCATTCAAACATTTGGACTACCTCTTATAGCTAAGCAACACTTTTTCTATAAATAAAAAATCATAACATCAATTTTTTCCCTTCAAAGCTCAAGACATAGCTTAAGAGACCTACTTTTTAAACATTCATTTTGGTACTTAAAATGGCTTTGGAACTAGGACTTGCCATTTGAATATGTAATTTACTACTGGGACATTATCAATTCAAAAACTCATAGTTCACTAGTTCATACCAATTATTCTTACATCATTTATATTGTCAGGCCTCGTTAAATGCACCCAAAAATCCCTGCAAACCCTTGCTCAGACTCATTAAAAATGCACCCAAACCCTTCTGCGCAAACGCCAGGTGTCAAGGATCGAAGTTTCAAAAGTCAGTTAGTGGATGGCAGGTGTCGACAGGAGAGTGTACGTCCGTTTGAACGTGGGGTAAACAAAAATGATTTTTTCTGAAAACCCTGCCCACTCTCCTCTGCATGCACCCTCTTTCCAAAATCTGATCTTTCATTTTCCTCCTTCTTCTCTCTAGAAAACCCTCCCTACTCTCTACTGTAACTTACCCTTCTCTACTCCGATCACCGTTCAGGCACCGTGGAAGCATTCCCGGCGTCCCAAGCTTCATCTTGAACCGATTGAGTTTCAAGTTTGAACCGGTAAGTCTTCTCCCCTTAGTCGTTCGTTCTTTTGTTACATGCAAACCACGTTTTGGTTTCATGCGAGGGTGTAGACTAAGTTATCCTGGTTTCTTGCTGTTTGGTTTAGTTTGGAAGAGTTAAGTGATCGTGAGGGTAGAAGTTGTAGTCGGACAAACCAAGAACCTACGTTTAGGACGTTCACAGAAGAGGTAAGGGGAGCTTATTAATTTAATTTATTGACTATATGATGCATGAATGTTCGCTGTTTTGATTTTTATGATAAATGAAGGTGATATGTTATGATACATGAAACGTATGAGATTTCTGTGATTTGGTGATATAAGATATGATTAATTGAATATGGTATGAATATAAATGTGTGAGACTATATGTTAAGAACTGAAATTTAATAATATTGATTCTGATAAGAAATTTCCCTTACGAGTGTATGCCTACGTTACTGAACGGTCCTCAACCGTTCGGTTTCCTAGTAAAATTGAATTGGTAGTGGATTCTTTCATTTGGGAAGGATTCTAGTTGAGGACGAACGTCCGCACTTCGGAGTACTGTGTATGAGCGTTCGGCCAAACACAGTTGGGCATTACCGTTCGGTTATAGATCTAAGAATATAAGTAATTGTATATTTTGTTGTTCGTAAGCACTACTTCAATAGTATCTTACTATATTTATCAAAACGTTTATTATAAGTTTATTAGTGCTCGGTCTTACACCAAGCGCTCGTGCTGAGTAGTGCTTGGTCGTACACCAGGTACTCGTCCTATCACTTTAAGCTAAATTTCTTGATATGAGCGTTCGTTCAGGCCCTTTAGGGTTTGCTCACTGTAGTGTCCAGTATTAAACTCAAATAAACAAAGTATTCACAAACGTTCGGTTTCTTCATATGAGACAATTCTAAGTATTATCTTTCGTGTCTTGAAATATTCCTATTCATTGATTTCATCCTAAAGTCTACTTCTTTGGTTTGTTCTCTTTACGTTCTGAGTGAATTATCAAGAGTCCGTTTATTTAAATTGACTCAACTTGAAATGGACGTTCGCCCCAATTTCCTTGGAATCTATTACTATACTCACTATCTTTTCTTATTATTCGATGTCAACCCTTGGTCTTAATCCATTCTCAAATTTGGAGATCTCTCAGTCTCGCTCTATGTGTTCGGCCTAGTTTTACATTCGGGTTGAACGTTCGTTATTTGTAATCCTTATGAATCTTTAAACGAGGTGATTAAATGAGATATGTATTAGTGAGCGATGAAGAAAATGTGATATTGAAATGTTATGGTTTATGGACGAGCGTTCCGGGGAGGAACGACTCATGTATGAATATTGAAATTGGTAAAGTATGACTGTGGGCATGCTAATGCTGGCTGTTCATCCTGATGATTCGTGGGTACTCGTCCTCACGTAGAGGAGGGTAGGTCATGTGTGGAAACGGCAAGAGGTCCCGTCCTTAGGGGTACTTTGGATGAATAGGACTAACCTCGGGTGGCAGCTGATGAGAGTATTCCAGTTACTACATCACTTGGGTGCACGAACGCCTGTAGCTACACAGAGTTCATACAGTCCGGACGGTCGGTCTAGTGATAGGCGTTGCAATGATACTTATGTTGAAATGTTCTTGTGTTGGATTGTTTAACGTATATGTTGAAGCATGAATTAAATTACATAAGCTTACCCTGTGTTTTCCTTGTGTTGTCTGGTCTTGTACGTTCGTCTTGTCGTTGCAATGATCATCCGCGTGGATGTGAGCAGAAGGAGACGCGCTACTGGAAGAGGCGCTGGAAGAAGGAAATTTGGAGGAAGAGAATCTCGCAGAAGTTGAAGTTAAGGCCGAACCATAGAACGTTCGGTTAGTAGTATAGTTTGGTTAGTATAAGGTGTTGTTCGATCACCTTTTCTTTTGGTAGGAATGACCGTTCGGTAACCCCTTTCGTAAACCGTTCGGTCTAGTCTTGTCTATTTTGTGCAGTTAAGTTTATAGCTCTATGTAAGGCCATTCGGCCAAAATCGTACGCTTGATTAGTATAAGACTGAACTGATATATTACCAATTGTAATTATTTTTAATGTATGATTTATTACTGTTTTTGGGGATGTTACATATATTGTGTGAAATACTCCTGAAATATCAACCTTGTTTCAATAATTTAATATATCATCCAATAATTTTACTCAATCATTATAAAATCATATTTCAACCCACACTTCAATTTTGCACATTTCATATATTTTATTTAAACTCAAAATGAAATATGTATCATACTTAATTCCACTTAGTTGATAATAGGATGTTTATTAGAAAAATATTTTTTATATATTTTCTAAATCTCTAAATAGAGTTATGATAATTTAATATATAAAATCTTAGGCCAACAATAACTTCCCTTAACAAGAGACAAAGTAATTCAATAAAAAATTAGTTGAATTCATAATAAGAAATAACTCACTTGTCCTAAGAATTTCATCAATTTATCTTTCTCTTGGCTTTATTTACCTCTCATTATATTGGTATATCAACTTCCTTCTTAAATATACTTTTATTTTAAAAAGAATTTTGGAAAAAAAATTAAATTATAAAGAGATTAAAAAAATTATTAAATAAGTAATAAATATTTATAACTTAATTATAGAATTTGTATATTTTATATATTTGAAATTTATCAATGCTAAAATTTCTGGCTTCATACATTAGCGCCTATATATTTTTGTTATAAAAACAATTATTTTCAATTTCAAACTGTTCTTATTTTATTTGATAACTTTATTGGCTTTAGTAAATAGTTTTTATGATAGTTTTTTTAACTAGCTTACAAAATACACTTATGGTTAAAAATTTTTACAGTTTAATTTTTTTAACCACTTTTAAAGGTTAGTTTAATTTAATTTATGAATCTTGTTCACTCCTAACTACCATTTTATGTTTTTTTTTCTTAATTAAAAACCAAATAGTTAAAATTTACAACTTATTATTAAATATCTCAAATATAAGATAAAAATATTAAAATATCATTTATAAGTTCTTATAATAGAAGTCATAACTAAAAGTATTGAAAAGATATTTTTTTAATATAAGCATTTTAAAATATAAATTATATAAAATAATTATTTGCATAGCTAAATTATTATCTATTTATTTATACATATAATTATAGATAAAATGTGCACTGCAAAGTGGGTTTAATACTATAATACTTTACTTATGTTTACTTAAATTTACTATAAAATCTTGCATCATGTTACCTATATTTAAATACACATGTAATTATATGGTAAGGGTAACCTTTATAAAAACCAGCAAGAACTCACAAAAGTATCCACATTAAATAAGATAAAGATATGCTTATCTGAGAATAAATATAATAATATTCATATCATCTTTCACTAATTATATATATATAT